TCAGATGGTGAAGTCGAAACTTGTATTTCTGTACGCTATTTTGTACCATTTATACTACAGTAATGGCTTTGCAACCGTCCGGAGATAGATAACAAATAAACGCCGCTACCCACGGGATTGCTCAGCACTCGCCTCCGTTATACCATGCGCCATACGGCTCCCTTGCGCTCCCACTTGCTCGTTCCAGCCCCTATAGGTTGCCTCGATGCTCCACCACCTGACCCAAGCGGTCCCATCACTCCGTGTGATGCGCCGGTCACGTGCTAATTACCTCCGGCTGCTTGCTGACTGATGCTGGCCTCATGGTGACTCGCATGTGTCCGCACCTTCGGTAGTTTGATGGAAATGAGAGAGGGAGTGTGCTGGAGGGTGGGCATGAGGATGACGCCCCTCGATAGAAGTGCCCGCGGCCCCGGAGCTAATTCATCTAGAAGTCGCATTGGTTAAGTCGCTCCAGAGCTCCTGTTCGCGGAGATAAATCGCAGAATGGGTCCGTGTACGCCTCGAGGATGCTAGGAAGTCCGGAGCTAAATAGAGCAATTCTTTTAGAGCCCATAGAAGCCTAGAGGCATGTGAGCGCTGTGTCGAATAAGCTCCGGAGGGCTTGTACGATGCGCTGAGTCCGCGTTTTCGGGGGTCAGACGATCCTGAGGCTTATCAGTGTGCTGATGTTGCTTCAGTAGTTTCCCTGACTGGGTGGCTGTGATATGCCATTGGAAGTCCAGGTCTTTGCCGGTGCTTCCCGCTGGCTACACCAGATGCCTTTTTTGGTGATCGTTGCTTGAAATGCGAAGTCCAGCGTCTTTGGTGATCACGGTGACTTTACATCCTGTGTCCCCTCCCTCCTGATTGGGTTCTCGGGGCCCAATCAGTTTGATACGCTGAATACACTTCGCAAACTCTTCCACCATCTGCAGACAGGGGGTGTCAGTGGGTGCAACTGTGAACGCCTCAAGGTCAACCAGCAGGGGCATGGTAATACTGTGCATCTGCAGGTTGTCATTCAGGCCTTCGTCATGGAAGGTATATTCTGATTGAGCCCTCACAGTTCTGGGGCTATCAGAGGAATAGATTCTGGATAGAGTGTCTGCAAGCACGTTCTTCATGCCGGGGACATATTCAATCTCAAAGTCAAACTCCGAGATTTTCTTGAGCCAATGCGCTTGACGCCCTGTGAGTGTCTTCTGCTTCAGTAAGTGAATCAGTCCCTTATGATCCGTAAGCCGTTTGAACTTTGCCCCTTGTAGGATATCACAATGTCGAAGCATTGACTCAACACCCACGAGCATTTCTTGCTTGTGGACAGCATAGTTTAGCTGTGTGGTATTCAGCTTGACTAAATAGAACACAGCTACATGGGCTGTATTTCAGGTAGGGCCTTGCGCGATAACGCTGGCAAGTCCACCATGCAATGCATCCGTAATTAGGTATATTGGGTCAGCATCCTGTGAGTAGTCGAGGGCCTGACGGTGATGTTCACAGTGAGCATGAACAATTTGTTTGATCTCCTCAAACACTTGCTGATGGGTTGGTTCCCAGCGGAAACTTACTGAATCACCAGTAAGTGATAAAAGTATGCCCATGGGTATGCGAACCCGGGCCAGGTCATTGGCGAAGTACCCAACAGAACCGAGGAATCCTCGCAGTAAATCTCTATTTGTCGGGACTTTCCATGCTAATACGTTATCGACTTTGTTTGGGTCCATCCGGATGCCATTGTCATCAACAATGCATCCCAAAATCTTTATTTCTTTCATCAGAAAGTGCACTTTCTTTTGGCCAAGAAAGAGCTGCTCACGTTTCAAGATATCGATGACCATCTTGCAGATCTTGACATGCTCCGCTAATGTATCTGAATAGATGATAATATCATCTAGATACACATCAAGATACACACCGAGGTACTCAGCAAAAATATGGCACAGTAGCTTGGAATGTGGCAGGGGCATTGCACTCACCCTGCTGCGTGACCAGGCTGGCCATGTTGCCATCAGGGGTTGTCATAGTGGTATGTTCGAAATGTTCCAGGATGACTCTAAATTGCTCATAGGCATCCTTCTGATCTAGAATAGATCGGTAGCATTTCTTGGAAACATGCCAGAGGATTCCCTCGATGTCCAGTAAGGGTGTTGTTAGCTTAATGGTATGAGCATTTCGCTCACAAAGATCTACTACGATTCATAGCTCCATCCCTGGCTTCATTAAGAGAAGCATGGGTGATGCATTGCGCGAGTGAGTGGGATGAGTGGGCTTCCATCACCCACTCTTGAGGTAGCTAGCTATCGCGCTTCTCGACCCAGTTCTGGCGGTGCATATCTGGGCAACAAGACAGTCTCCATGATGAGAATTTTGTCTCGTCTTTTAGAGGTATGGAATGGTTTATTGCTCTCATGGGGGGTACCGGGGCCTCTTTTCTGTAGAGGAAGATAGGCCTCACATACTCAAGCAATTCACATTGCCCTGCATCTAGATTGTCTTTGAGCAGCTCCGCGGCGTGAGATTCGAGGATGCGAACACCATCGCCTTGCATCTGCAGCGGCATCACACTCCCAATAATCAGCTTCGGGGGATTCAGCCCAAGCAATATGTTGTGCTGGAAAATGAAGGGTGTACCCAATATCATATCATAACTCTGTAAGTTAATGAGATCAGAGTATCTTTCATTGTCTATAGCTTGATACTGAAATCTAGCCTTAGCTCCCCAATTCACTTTGGAGCGCGACCCCTGCACAGCTAATTGGACCGGTAAGGGTTTCTCGAGTTCAATTTTTTGAACTCCTAACTGATTGGCTAGATCACAGGACATGAAGTCCACTAGCAAACCTGAGTCAATGAGTGCCTTCGTGGGGCATCCATTGATTTGTACAATGATTATGAGAGGCTTTGGGATTACTCAATGGAAGTCCCTCATGGTAGCCGTGTTCCGTTGAATACTCGGGTAAGCATTTGGAGGTACCTGTACCCCGTTCACTTTGGTAAGACAGAAGCAGTCTGCTAACTCAACATATTTCATGTTGTATTCTTTAGGATACAGCCGGTCTATAGTATCGACATAGATCTCTTGGAGCATCTGCTGCCACAGACACTCCATCCTATTCGGAGAGGTCCGGTAAGCACCATTCCTCATCTATTGCGCAGACCACCTGTGCTTTGCGTGTGGTTGTCTCATACGCCTTGCATAGCTGGTTCTCGTACCAGCTGGGGATGTTGAAGCAAAGCTCCAGGATGTGGGATACAAGTATCTGGGTTGTGAATCTTCGTTCTCAGTTGTGTATCAGAACATGCGGACTGCGCAAAGCACACTGGAAGTGCTGGACCAGAGGTGGCTGGTCCTCCGCATCTCCATAGTACTCGGTGCAGTCTTGCAGAACCTGTTCAACATGCAGGGGAATGGCATTCCCCATCACTTCAGTAGGTGTTTCAAAAAGGACATATCTTCCAAGGGAATATCCCCATTTTTGAGATTGCGCTCGAAAAGACGGGTGGCATACCACTCAGCGACATTGAACATTGGGTCTAATAGTACGTTCTGTCAATTAGAATGCTGTACTTCTGATGGACGTTGTCCATTATCACATACTGCGAGTAGTCACATTTGTACAGTAGAAATCTATCTCTCCAATAGATATTATTTTCAATGTCATACGAGGTTCTCTTGTCGTCCCCAGGAGACGGTGCGCTGCATCGAAGCAGATGTGTGGTGCGAGCAGCAAGTGGGTCCTCCCTCAGGGCCCAGACCCGGTCATGGAGAGACCACTCATCCGGAGGGGGTGGTGATAAGCCTCAGGATCGTCTGACCCCCAAAAACGCGGACTCAGCGCATCGTACAAGCCCTCCGGAGCTTATTCGACACAGCGCTCACATGCCTCTAGGCTTCTATGGGCTCTAAAAGAATTGCTCTATTTAGCTCCGGACTTCCTAGCATCCTCGAGGCGTACACGGACCCATTCTGCGATTTATCTCCGCGAACAGGAGCTCTGGAGCGACTTAACCAATGCGACTTCTAGATGAATTAGCTCCGGGGCCGCGGGCACTTCTATCGAGGGGCGTCATCCTCATGCCCACCCTCCAGCACACTCCCTCTCTCATTTCCATCAAACTACCGAAGGTGCGGACACATGCGAGTCACCATGAGGCCAGCATCAGTCAGCAAGCAGCCGGAGGTAATTAGCACGTGACCGGCGCATCACACGGAGTGATGGGACCGCTTGGGTCAGGTGGTGGAGCATCGAGGCAACCTATAGGGGCTGGAACGAGCAAGTGG